CTCTCAAAACGTACCTATATATATAATTCATTTCTTTGTGACTAAGCTTTGTAATTTGCTGATCATATTGTTTTGTTTTTATTGTTGTAATTTATGGATTATATTTGCCTACATATGTGAACACGTTTTTGCATTGTGTGTTAGTGTGTACTGGCTCCTCTAGTTTGTCGGTATATAGTTATGATTATTTTCTTGACATCATATAGTTATATTCTTTTTTAGCAAAAAAAAAATATAAGTTATATTTTTCTCAAAAAAGAGACATCATATGCTTTTCTTAAAAACAAATTTATATTGCTATTATTATTGGTTGGATTACTTGGATATATTAAAAAGGTCTAAGTTTAAGGAGATGTATCAATACACGTGAGCTAACCTCTTAGCCCCACACCCTTTATCTCTCCAACTTAAACCCATTCACACCCATCAAATGATTTTTCAGTTTTTTTTTTTTTTTGGTTGTCGTATGATTTTTCAGTTTTTCATTTTTGCTTTTGGATAATCTAAAATAAAAATAATTATATATGGAGCCAAATTTAATAAATGTGTTTTTGTGTTCAAAAACAATAATTCCATTTAATATGGAATGGTTTGGCTTAACGGATTATCTAACCTTCTTCAAGTTTTTTTGTATTCAATATCTTTACCTTCGTTAAGTTTTGGGATTCTCCGTCTATTAAGTTACTAGTGTTATATTTATCGGTTAGAAATTTATTTCTATCAATTGTATTTTCCATTTTTGGGTTCTACGGTTGAAGATAAAACCAAGTTGGATGAACGATTAGTAAAGAATAATGGACATTTAACTAATTTCATTAGAAAAAAAAACTAGACTATGTAATTATAATATCTTTGTGGATATACTTTTACAAATATATACACGAATCTTCCTCTTAATAGAATCAATCTAACTTAAAAAACCTTTAAAATAAGGAAGAAGCAAAGCGATAGTAGTTTACGTCGTTGCAAGTCATGTGAACTAAAATTAGAACCCATAATTGATTTAAAAAAAAGAGTCATGTGAACTAAAATTGGAACCCATAATTGATTATAATTAAGTTGACGACAGAAAATATAATAAATCAATATTATAATCGCAGGAATGAACAATCATATCTGTTAAGGAAGAAGGTACAAATCATTGCAAAATTGTACAAAATTTCATAAATATAACTATTTATGTTTTTTACAAGCAAAATTATAGTAAAATATATATATTTGAAAAAAAGAAGAAGATGGATTAGTAAGTACTATTATCTTCTTCATTATTTTTCTCTACAAATTAAAAAAAATAATATAATTACAAACTATTTTTCTCCTTCATCAACCAACAATCCCACCGAAAAATAAAGTGGAATCGTTGAAGAGTCTTATCTATAAAAGACTATACCCCAAATTTTTTCCCCCCAATTTCAATATAATCTTTTTTCTCTGGGATTCAACTTCTAACTAATTCCTAATTTGATATATTTTAATAAGAAACCAAAAATAAAATAAAATTAATAAGTAATTAACAAGCTGCAGAAGGACTAGTGAAAGGGTTATAGAAGCGAGGCTTTGTGACTATAGAGAAAGCTCCTTTCGCCGTTCCGCCGTCAACCCCCACCGTACCTCCGCCGCCTCCT